TATTTCAATAATGGTTTTATCGGTAACAAGGGTTATAATGTTGATGCACAAGTACGTAGCTTTGTTGTTCTTTACTTCTATACGAAATGCGCCGAACACTTTAATAGGGCCCGCCCGGTCGAACCATAGAGAGCAACAATCATCGAGGCGGAGGTCTGGGCGGAGTTAATGAATGAATGAATGAATAAAGACCTTTATTGTACACACATACCCATTGGGTTAAGTACGGGTCACAAAAAGGATGGAATATAGATAACAAATATGTTAATGCTACTGTGGGTGTAGAAGTGCTACCGGATAATCAAAGGAATTATATACACTTCAAATATGTATTAATTTGTACTCCGTAAAACCAAAGGACATAATGACACTTCAAATATGTATTAATTTGTACTCCGTAAAACTGAGTCTGTTCAGAGGAAAGAAATACTTCCTTCTCGGGGCCAAGGTTATGGAAAGCTGTCCTCAGCGCTGCCACGACCCTCTCTTCGTTCTTCAGCTGTATGTGTACTTTGCAGGGGAAAAGGATCGGCGTGCACAAGACAACGGGCGCAGCATGATTCAAACTTTATTTTATATTTACGCCCTTCTTCACGCCGATCAAAAGAAACTGTGACAATTCGGTACGTGCAGGCCCGTGCACGTGGCGACACAGGCTGGCTTCCCGCTCTAGCTGTGGGTTCCCACGATGTGTTGCCTAGGGCAGCGGCACGTACACAGACCTACCGGCGGATCCCACCCACCGGGCGGCGGTAAGATTTTCAAAGACTACATTTATAACTCCGCCTCTATCATTGTTGTGTGCCGAACAGTCGAGTACATCTAACTTGCATTTTCACGTCATACTGACTGGTATAGCCCGCTACAAAGTAATTTCCTGTTGCATTTAACGATTTAAAAAGAGTTGTGATACGAAATGAAATATTGATAACAATTTATGTTAAGTTAACCTTTGTAACGGCATGGATCATCTTTGTTGAAGATTTCTGAGTTCAACTCAAGCCGGAAGTGCATTAGAACCTACCATCAGTCCAGGTGCAACAATTATGTTATCACGTTACGTTACGACGATCAAGAACGTTCACGGCTTGCGGACCATTTCAAATATTATAATTTTATAATGGAAAAAAAATCTTACGTGGGTTTATATTTTCGGCCGGAGTTCCTTGCAGAACTAGTTTGGGAAACACTTTGGGATCGTCGTCATTCTTTGTCTATGTTCTACAAAATTGTTCACGGTAATATCCGCCAGCATCTTGAAGACCTAGTTACTCCTGAAGTTGACGTTTCTATCTGTTACGACCTTCGTAATAAGCACAACCTTCGGCTGCCATGTTGATTGATTATATGGATGACGTCCTCTGGGAACAGCATTATGATGCGAGCGTGCGACTAAAAAAGGTTTGGAAAAACCTTTCCTTCATCATGAAATCTACGTGCATTGTCATAAAGGTTGAACAAATGGCTTAACACACAGAGTATGTATGGTATGGCGAGTAATAATAGACTGGGGTCCGGTCCATGAACTTCGAGTTAACTTCATGTAACTCTGGGTGCATCTCCCGTAGGCGGCAGAGCGGTAAGCGTTAACTTCATGTAATTCTGTAAAGTTTAGTCCCAAGTTACTCCCAAGTTACCACCCCGCTCGGTAAATGTACAAGCGACTGTTTGGTGAGTCTTTGAATGTATTGTGTTTCTTTAAAACCCTTCGGATTTGTACCCTGCTAAATCTCAAAATTTTACAGTAAGTAACGAGAAAATTCAAACATTGGGTTGACCTTATTGGAAAACACATGGTTCCGACACCCTTCTGAACAGCCGAATCGCGGGGAGCGATTTCTACCGAAAATGACCGAAAAAAAACATGACGTAATGCTTGCAACAGCATGCGGTTGCTGATTGGTCAAATGTTTGTCAGGGTATTATGGGTTGCCGCCTGCTAGCAGAAGCCGGAAGTGAATTCCGCTTCCAAGAATCGAGATGGACTCCAGTCAATTTTCCAATCGTCCCGAAACGTAACAAATCTACTTTCATTTCGACATCGGGACAGTGGTAACGAACACCTAATTTCTTATTTCCTGCGAAACATACCTTCGCTCTCACTGCGCTCAGACAGGCAAAGAAGGTTATCTATTACGTTATAGTGTAGCCTTCTTGGATAGGCGAAAGTAGGTCAATGGCTTGAACTTTTCACCCTTTTCACCCGGTCTGTTTGCTGTGTCAGGGAAACAGTTTTCTCATCTCAATATTACAATTAAAATAATCAATGACATTTTGTATTCACCAATCAACGGTCCCAGACTATATGACGCCCCTAGTTACAATGTCTAAATAATAATCGATGTAAGTCCCGACTTTAAAAGGGACAACTGCGGGCTCGGAGGTTCAGAACGGAGTTTGAGGACACCAGTTGCCAGAACCCTCCGGGCCCAAAGCTTTGGTCCCGCCGGGCGCGGGGCGCGGGGCCCGGGCACTTTCCACCGGCCGGGGCTCCGGGCACGATCTCCACTGGCCGGCACCGGCGGCGCAGCACCGAGGAATTACCGGGGAGCTCCGCTGGTATGGTCACCGGACTAGACAGGGGAAGCGCGCCGCGGCAGCCGGCTTGGTCAGCGTGGATTTTTACTTGGAACAAAATAGGTAAGGTCTTAAACTTAGTTGGTTTCTAAAATCTGTTTGTTATAGTTTTACACTGTTTACCTGGTTACCGGTCACAAACCTAGAGGTACAGAGGAACCTACGAAGGACCGGTTGAAGCTATTAAAAATGTATGCTTTAATGTTACTTCCTAATGTTATAAATGTGCCATAATCGTATCAGTCTAAATTTTGCAATCACAGCCGTGTTTTTGCAGTGTCACGTCTGCTAGTTGTTGTACTAGTACCCAGTCTCTATTTTTTTTCTGTACGAGACTTGTATGTACTTCGTGTTCTGTATATGTATGTTTAGTAAACTTTCCCCTATTTCTGTTCGGAATTCTTGGTATCTTTCAAGCAGACTTTTTCTAGTATTTCTATAACTTTTCTATGTTATTCTGGTGTTCTTGGATCTCGCTATGTTGTCGTCATGTCCCAGGGTATTTCCTTATTGTGGTTCTAAATGGGACATCACTATGTGTGCTATTTATCACCGACAAAGATTCAGTCCTATAATTACTGCCATGGAGGAACGGTTCTACTAACCCTAGTACATGTATCACTCGCAGTGGTTTTGGGAAATTTTGGTGAGTTCGCTTTTACGATAAGAATTACAAATTATTGTTTACGGATTCGGGTGTTGTTATATCATGACTGATCGATACGTCATTGTTGATCACTGACTCGGAGTTAGAGAAAGTTTAAAGTTGCTTGTTGGCTGGTTACGGCACGAGTGGAGAGAAGTTGGAATTTAAGTTTATTACGCATTAAAAATGTGTGCCACTTGACGTTAACTTCCACCGGGATCAGGTTTTTCGGCTTTACTTGATATTCTCGGACTCCTCTTTCCGACAAAACCCTTGTGTTCAAATGAGTGGCTTAGGGATATTTTGCAGGCCCCAGCCAAACTCTGCTGATATGTCAGATCTTTCCAGCTGGCCTTTCTAATCATTGTCGTCCTGTAACTGACCCGGTAAAATACCCCTGGGCGGGCGGGCAGTGCTGACTTCACTCATCTTGTTCTTTGTGTGGTTTATTCCGTCCATTTTGCTTGCAGAATTTGGTCAGTATTTCATTACAGATCCAGCTGGTTGTCTTTATCAGGTATCGACGATCAGTGTTTTAGTGAATTGTTTTTAATAGATGCTCGTTTTTAGCTGCTGGTTTATGTAAAGTTTGAGCCACCTGACGCTAAGTTCCGCCGGGGTTTTCCGGTCTTACCCTCAATTCTCTACGTCAAGGCTCTTCTGTCCAGTAACCCCGGGTGTTGGTTTTTCTTGTCTTTCCAGTAACTCTCAGACATGCAGCGAGGGATACCCTACTGTTCTACACTGAACACCGGTGCTGGCATATAAGGTTATGCCCTGTCCGCGCTAAACTGCCCGCACCTGCCAACGACTCGGGGTTCCGAACAGTGGAGACCATCTCAGTGCACGGAGAAGGTTTCAGTACGTCATATACTCATCTCTAGGTCAACGCCATTTTGGTTTTAACAATAATACTATTCACACAATTGCAAGTTGATATTATTTCCGCGTATTCTGTACATATGTGCAGTTTACCTGCTGACATCCCAACATAATAAGGTCCAAGTTTCACATCGTGGTCACGCTGAACGCTGAAGAACTATGCTGAATAACGCGACCCTAGCATGCAACAAACTTCGCTAACCAGTACTACATTGTTTCTTTCAGCTCTACATGACGACAAACACAACAGTTACTCAAGAATACAATCAAAAAGTGGAACAAAATACCAGGTGAGCGCCTAACCATCCTTATTTTATGCAATAGTGTTCATAATCACGATGGTTAAGCAATGTTCGCATCTCTATATAGTACTTCTTTCACAATAAGCTGTGTGACTTTTGAAATACGGTAACATGTTTACTATGATGTCATTGCTGGGAAAACAGTGTAGCCTGGGTGCCAGGCCCTGTGACACGATACTCCATTCAGTCGGGGAAACCACACGCCCGGAACCCAGAATAGATACTCTAGATAAATTGAAGAAGGATGCCAGCTCCGAAACTGGGGCGTGTTGGGCGATATAGATGCCCGATCGAGAGACTCAGAAAAAAAAACACTTTCTTTCTCCTAAGCGAGGAGGTAAGCTCCTTGTTCTAAGTGCTAGGGTCTGGCACATATGCTAGTCATAATGAAATTATATATATTACCTGGCAGCAGAAAATCTCACTCGGCATGTATACTTCATGATGTCGCAAATTTCATTGCCAGAAAAGGGTGTATTTATGTGTCCGCTTCATTGCATTCTTTTAATTAATCGACTCACATTGCATATTTACATTTATGTGTAAAGCATGACCCCAAATCTTGTTGATTTAAGTTAGTCCTAGCTGGTCAAAGTTGGCATAGATTCATTTATGCTCTTTTCTCTCTTTATACCACAGGCAGACTTCGGCATGTCCATCCTGAGACTACAGCAGGAATTTACTGGCTAGCACGAAACCCAGTCGTGGAAGGATTGGGGTGTGCATTTATGTTTTTCACGCAAGAAAGTTGAAAAACAAGCACTGCAGCTGAATGCAACAGCATCGTGAAAGCAAAGAAAAAAATAATAAAAAAGCAAGACTGACACAAACATGCATACATTGTGTGTTACATAGAAAACGCACAAGTGAATAAAATTCCTTACACAAAAAGCATTAAAAATTATGCTTTTTTTACTATTACACTAGTAAACACTAGACCATTGATGAAAATATTTTCGTCAAATATGGTTTCATAACTTTCCAAACTATAGTGCGTTTCTGCAAACGATTTTGATTCATGATAACATACCCTAAATACTGTGCATCAGAAAAAAACAATTATATTTTTACAACTAATTATTAAAATTTATAAAATTATTATGAAAACATTCCCATGCATGTTTACGGTGTTTTTTCTGGGGCAGAAAAGGTAGGGTGCCAACAACACACGATTCGGTGAAGTCAAAGCAAAGAATTCAATAAAAAAAAAGACTACACTATAAACAAGACTTTTTGGCTTACCCTCCCACCATGGATGATATGAGTTGCCAGGATGACAGAGATGACAACTGATGCTACAACCAGAAATCCACATCCCAAAGCAAGCCAGCACACTCTGCTAGATTTCCATGTATTCCATATTTCGACGACACGACCTAACATATAGAATATCTATTATTGCATGTATGTATTGTTTCACGTACGAGGTGGTTTTTGACCTTATGAATAATATGAGTATATATAAAAAAGGCTTTCCCTGTTTTATGTGATTCCACATGACCACATGACCATCTTCCAAAAAATAACTTTAAAAACAATGGGCCAATAGCAGTGAAACTTATTTGCATTTATTATACATAGTGAAAAACAAGTTTGGGTAGGAATCTTTTTCAAAAATGTAAAAAAAAATGTGAAAATAACACATATCAATATACGGATGACCTTCAAATGGATGAGGTTTACGAAAAATACAAAATTACGATTATCAGAATCACGAAAAACAAGAAACGAGAAATTCAGAGCCTAAAATACGACAAGAAGCAGGACCTTTACTACCACTACTGCAAACATTTATTTCATGAGCTGATTTCTTGTGATTGAAAAAAAAAAGTATATCAATGTCAATCAATAAAGGTTAGGAATCTAGCTAATGAGAAAGAAAGTAAGAAAGCTAAGACTAAAGATAATGTTAAGATAAATTAGAAACAGTACTAAAAATCTATCCAACTCCTTAATCAACAGTTTACTTGTGTATATTACTTATATGTCTTTTGAATGATTTACTATATTGAAGTTAAGATGTAATTTTGGGGTAAAATGTCAGTATTGTTTCTTAGGTTTGTAAATGTAGTGATGTGACACCGATTTCAGATCAAGTTCATGAAAGAGAATATCGGGGGGTAATCAATGACTTTAACACGCATTTAACATGTTCTTTTCCACTGTTTTTTGTTGCAAAATAAACACTTGGAGTTTAACCCAACCCTGCATATGTATGCAAGGGGAGAACAATAGATACCCGCTCTCTTAACCTTTTCATGGAGTAACACCAACTACGTCCAACCCAAACACCATGCAATTTGAAACTACATTTTAAGTTCCACCGGTTCCATTCAATTTCGTAATGCTCTCCAAACATGTTTCACGTGGATATCGATTTGAAGCCCATTCTAAACGTAATTTAGAATCAAATTTGTTCCATTAATTCTCAGATTTTTGACCATAGTTAAGGAAATTTCCACGCAACAAAATGTATTTTTCAAGGATAACGTCCCCTTTAAATGCGAAACCTGGATTAAAACATGAACAGCAGAGAAAGAAAAAGAACAAGTTGCCTTGGTTTGGAATATACTAAGGACATATACACATTATGGCAGAAATTTAATAAAAGGACACTGTATAACCACAAACAACTCTTCTATTCATCATAAAGGCAGCAAGAAATCAACTAAACAACCGTTTTCGCCTTGTTCTGATTCTTTCCTTCATCACATTTTCAGTCTTATTACATTTTGAGGCACTGTTGTAATACTTTGATCAAAGTACAGTAAGCAGAATTTCTTGAAACAGTTAATGTTTTCCACTAACAGTCCAAAACCAAATTACTTAGGTCTTTAAACCTGTCGCCAACCCTTTCACAGTGTTCCGCATTAAAAAAGGAGTGCAGAGATTTTTTTTTTACTCTAGACTAATTTTTGAAAAAAAGGGTAAAGAATACACATATTCATTTCTCTAGAACAATTGACGAAGGCATAAGATCTGTGATCTCTACAGGACAATGTTAATTTTCAATTCTGAATGTTTTTTTTTTTATATTGTAAGCATTGCATATCTTAACCCTTGCCCTGCTGAGCGCAACATTTGTCTTTCTGCACATACAGTACCATCTATATAGCACCCTGTATAGGTACAATTTGGGGGTATTTCTCGTGCAAAACGCAGCGAAACGCAACGAAAGTAACTATGCCACTGCAGGGCAAAAAAAAAAAAAACGGGGGGCCTATGATCTAATTAAGACATGAAATTATTGAAAGATATTGTGCCAGCAATGCCAGCAGGGCGAATATTTTTTGAATTATGTATTAAATAATGATGATGTAACGTACCTTTAGCCCTGAATGCAAAACTTTCTTTCACGGGGTCTTTGTAGTCGTGAACATCTTCTGGTTTGTCGTAGTCGTGTGAGTAATGATTTTCCTCAAGCCCCTTGTAAGTATGGACATCATCAGGCTCTTCGTACCCCCCGTCAACCTCCTCTGGTTTCTCGTAGTCGCGGTAGTAATGGTCTCCCTCAAACCCCTTGTTGACCTCCTCAGCCTCTCTGTACCCGTAAGTATCTTCTGATTTCTGACCTGAATACACCACTACGTGGTCTCCCACGTGAAGGTATCGAGGCTCAGCCGTGTCAGGTTGCAGGTCGGTGTAGATGCTAGCAGCGGTGCCGTACAAGCCAGCGGCCGTCTCTTTTCCGATGACCGTCTCCTCGTAGGCGTGCTTCCTACGATTGGTAGCCTTGCTTTGGTTTTTGTTATCTTCCCCAATGTTTTTTTCAGAGATGCAGGGCACCTCTTCTTCTACCTGCTTGGTATTTTTACCGCGTGCGGTAACTGACGTGTATATGTTGAAGACAGAGGGCTGGCCTCCAGGTTCCAGGTCGGTGTAGATGCCAGGTGCGGCCATGCTCTGGATTTTAGAATCTCCCCCATTTCCCTTTTCAGGAATGGACGGTATATTTTCTTGTGGTTGGCTATATTTAAGCGTGTTTTGGTTTGGGATAGGACTTCGACGTCCCGGATTCATTTTTGGGACATCAAAATCTTGTTTTGAATCTCTCTCTGCATCTATACCCTTCTCTTTTTCATATGCGTGTTCCAGCGATGGGGTTGTATCGTCTGTCGCCATTCCTACGTTATGAACAGGGGATCCGTATCAGAAATGTTCGTTGTTTCCAAAATCCTGCACACATATTACATATTATCCAACGTAAGGTTCATCCATAGCTTGTCGAGTTATGTTTGTTGAGTTATGCTAAATCATACACACAGTCACAAAAACGCACGCACGTACACAAACATACACACGCACACACACACACACACACACACTCACGCACACACACACGCACACACACACTCACGCACACACACACACACGCACACACACACACACACTCACGCACACACACGCACACACACACACACACACACACACGCACACACACACACACACATGCATATACACGAGAAAGAACCGGCAGTTTCTACACCTAATAACAAGTTTAGACTATCGAGGACGGGGTGGATTCTCTTCGAGGCTTCAGGAGCTCTTCACCGCTCATCTTGTTTACCGGCTATGTTCTTTCATGACGGGAATTGAATAAGCCCCACTTATCAACTCCTGGTGCGTACAAAACTCTATTAGCAACACTAGCTCCTACAGGCGTATAGCTTCAGTGCCAGACCCCGATGTTCCATAACCGATTTTTTTAGGGGAGGGAAGCCTTGTCCGCTAGCAGAAATTTTTGACGCCCGAGACCTTTGTGTCTCACGCCATTAGCTATAAAGTTAGAGCCGGGGGCCAAATCGGGGTTAGCGGGGCGAATTTCCTCTCTGGCCGAAGGTATTCTCACTCACTCGCGGTCGCGGTAGAGTCTGGCACCCTGGCTAATGCTTCGGTCCCAATTGAAGAAAGGGGCCCTGCCGGGTAGTTCCCGGGCTGTTTAATGGCACTTTCGGGCGGGACCCCGACGTGGCCCCGCCGGGCACCCTGTGGCCAGCGGGCTATTTTTGGGCCCGGCGGGGACCCGAGAAAAATTTAATTCTGAATTAAATTCTACCCGGGCCCCGCTGACAAAAAGACGCCGTGACCTCACCGTGAGAAGACCGAGAGGTACCCCTCCGGTTGTCGGCAGTCCACCGGGACACATTTGTTACGTTACAGACCAGATGAACAGAATAAAGGTGTGTACTTCGTAAACCCCATGTAAAATATGTGACGTCACTGATCAAATGATCACAACAAAAGCGTGAACTCTATATTAAGTGGGTCAGTATAAGACATGTCAGAGAAGCCGGCCGGGTGCCTGCCGGAAAACGACCAATAAGGGTGACAAAATGCCACTGAATGAAACTTTTAATTGTGACCACAACAACCGGTGCCCGCCAAGCTCCAGACCCGGCGGGAGCCGGCCGGGGCTACATCCCCGACGGGCACCGGCGCCATTGGGACCGAAGCATAACAGGCGTGGCACTCCCACCGGGCGGCCTGTTGAACTTGACGGCGGAAAATTATAAGAGCCCCGAACACAGCCTGTCCCTACCACGATAGACTAGATATATACAACCAGCAAAATATTTCCTGTGACACAGTACCACATCTACACCACGTTAGCAAGAATACATCACACAGAATATATGAAGCCAAAAAAGTTCAGAAATTGCGTACATGTACATGTACAGATCAAGCTCATTCTGGAACAGTCTACTGCAACATGTCAAATCTTCACCCGAAAAAAATTCCAGCTGGAATTTAATATATGTAATTTGATCTGTTGTGAATTGTGTCTCTTAAAACAATTACAGCTAGGTAGAATAGCTTTGGTGATAAATGTGTAAAAAGTCAACGGAGCGATACGAAGTATTCGAGTATTCGAAAATATGAAACATCTCTACATCCCCTTTCCATCGTAATACTAAGACTAGGACTTAAGAAGAAAAAGACTACGACAGCCACACCGAAAATATTACCCTTCTACTAACTGCTCCAATGCTGTCAAATGTGGACTTCTTCTTGCCAATGTGTAATATAACAAGCAATAGTCATGCTAATGGAGTAGTATTTTTTTATAATTTGCAATGCGTGGTTTTGGAATCGTTCATTAATGTTCTGGGGTGCATTTTCCTACTGTGATAACACTAGAGTTTTGAAAATAAGAAAAGAAATTGACTTGAAATAAGGGCAGTTTATTTTGAACATTTTGTGACCTTGGAATAGCCCATTTTTGTAAGGGGGTGATTTTGAAATAGTCCATATTTCCATGGAGGATATATTTTGGGTTTAGTTATTGATGGTGATGTCTTCTGACCTATTCTGCCAATTGAGGAATGTTAAAATATCACATTAAGAGCATTTAGTATATTTGTTAGCATGACTTTACATTAGTTTAGTGCATTGTCATGGC